ATTAGATATTTGAAGCTAAAATATTTCATGTTAGATTTTCGAAATTCTTATTATCTTTTATTTTCATATCATTTTCTTGCAAAAAAATAAAATAAAAGAATATCAATCGCTAGAATCTTTTATTAATAAATAAAAATATAAATCTGTCGATTCAATTATTTATTTATTTTAAAAAATTGCTATTCTTTTAAAAAGAAAATCGAAATAAATTTTTTAGATTTTTTTTATAAATTGATATATATATAGATATAATTCAATATTTCTCTTGAACTCGAAAATCTTAGATAAATGATTTCTTTCATGAAAACAAAAAAAATATTTTTTTTTTCAATTAGTGCATAGATTAATAATTCAGAATTCAAGAAAATAATTGAGTTATTGTCCGCCCCAACCCCTAGCCCCCTCAACTCTCAAAAACCAAGGTTTATGCCTTTTAGCAGAAAAAGTATTTTCATAGTCCCAACCCCCAACCAATTTGAAGATCATAATCATATTATAAAATTTCATAGTAATTTTATTCTATATAAAATTAATTTTCTCTTCTATGTTTGGAGAAATAAGTCGAATATATTATAACATAAATTAAATTTATGAATAACCAATATTTCATATAATCGATATCAATAATAAAGATATTTTTAATATAATTCTTTAAAATTAAATTAAACAGAAAATAAATCATCTGTAAAATATATATATATCTAGAAAATTAATAGATAAATATAAACAGATATATTAAGATCCAAATAAATATAAACACATATTGCGACACATATACAACAACCCCTATAATATAACACTAGAACTCGTGGTATTAAAATTTCGCAAATTTTATCCATAAATATACTAAAAAAATCGAAAATTTTATAGCTACGAGCATGCCTACCCCAAATTTTAGGAATTTTATGACCGAGAGCATTACCAAAATTCTGAAATTTTAATACCGCGAAAGTTCCTAAAGTGAGCAAGACCGCGTATAAAAAGAGCCAAGTGACCAATACGATACCGTTTTATTAGAAATATATATATATATATTATATTAGTTTAATGATAAAATAGTATCAACCTGTGATTCGATTATAATCAATTCCTAATATTTCGATCGAAGATAACGCAAATAATGATATATATATATAGTATAATATAATATATATAATATAATATTGAGTCCGAGAAAATGGGTGGGTATGTTTTTTTCTGCGCACTCGTGTCGTTTCGTTCCACCATTGCGTGCCTTGGCGGAAGTGTAGGGTTTAGGGTTGAGGGTTCAGGGTTTGAGGAGAAGTTGCATCTATCGGCTCCAGGCCGCTGGCTGTCGATTCAGGACCCATTGCAGAGTCTCGGCGGCCTGGTGCAAGGTTTCATTTCACTGTTGTCAGGCATACATGCATCCCTCAGTGCCACGATTGCGAAACTGCGAGATTTGCAGTAACCGTGTCAACCGTGTCGAAGCTCTCCAGATGCCACCTTGCAATAACTTGCCAAACCCGCCTGTTCAAAGAACAAACAAGCGACAACATCGACTCAAACTAAAGACAGCCGGGCTGTGGCCTTCAGGCAATCGCGCGCCACCTCCTGGACGGGGGCATTGAACTACAGCTCAGAAGTTCGCAGTTCCTGAAATCGCACCAGCCAAAGCCTTCAAACCCCTCACATCCTTTATGCGACACCTCCTAGCCATCCTCCCACCTCGTGCGCGCTGCAGTACATGGGGTTGCGCATGTGACCAAGTGACAGGAAAATGATTCCAACTTCTGCGACTCTCCGCGGGGCTGAGCCGCGGGCCCCGAGCTCGACAAAACTTAAGTCTGCCAGTACCTTCACAACAGGAACAGACCGAATTGCCTGTGGAAGCCCGCAGGGGCTAAGGGATCTGTTCCAGATACTGGTTGTTGTCCTGGCAAACAATCTGAGACCTTTCAGAGCTTCTCTGTTCTTTCCCTTTCTCCTTATCAGCCGGGTCTCGCCTTGCGTATCCTTGTACACATCTCTCTTTTCTCTGGCCTCGCATCTCCTATTCTATTCTATTCTCCGGGGCATAGGGTGCGATTCATGCACCCCGTGCCGTGAGGCGCACCCCTGTTTCGGGGCT